GTTCTGCTGTGCATAAGGTTGCTATGGGTCAGTACCCACTCAATGGCACCTAACAACAACAACAATGGAGAAAAGAAGCTCTGGTAACATAGTGGTTATAAGTCGGACTGCGAACCTCAAGGTCAGCAGTTCAAAACTACCAGCGGTTCCGCAGGTGAAAGATGAGGCTTTCTGCTCCTATAAAGATTTATAGCCTCGGAAACCCTGTGCAGGGTCACTATGAGTCAGAACCGACTCCAAGGCACACCACCACCAGTGGAGGAAAGGGAGTCCTGGTGTGGTGCTGTGGCTTAATGCACTGGACTGCCAGGTTGGTCTGAACCCCAAGGTTGGCGGTTCAAGCTCACCAGCAACTCCTCAGAAACCCTATACAGAAACCCTTATATAACAGGTTCACTATGAGTCGGAACTACGGTACTTAACAACAATGACAGAAACAAGAAGCCAGGAGACGGGGACCAGGCTGTCTGTTGATCAGCACAGGGCTGCCTGGGCAGAGTGGAGACGCAGCAGGGGCAGGCTGTCTGACCCAACTTCACCAATGTAGACCCTGCTGGTACTTGCTCCCTCAAGCTGAACCGCTCTCCCCACTGGCTGTGTAGGTTCAGGTTCTTCATTTGCACAATGAGGGGGACAACCTCCGCTTTTTGGTTGTTGAGAAGATTGAGACCCTGTCCCGCTGACGGCCCGAGAGAAGAGCCCTGTGACTTGTTTGGTGGGAGATGAGGAGAGGTGGGCAGTTACCAAAGCTTGGAAAGCTGGGAGGCTGTCAGCCCCTGCACTGCCCCTGGCTCGGGACCCTTCAGACAGTGTCGGTGGAGGGAAAGGGAAGTGAGTGGGTATTCTCAGGCCATAGGTACCCCCCATCCATGAGGATATCACCCCAACCACTCAGCTTTTTGGGTCCTGCACCTGGAAATCCCCTGAACCATGCTCACACCCAACAGGTCTCCAAGTTCCAGCGTCTTACTGCCCCTTCTCTATGCAGCCCCCACGCCTCCCTGTCGCCTCCCAGCTCACCTGTCACTGCCCTGCTTAGCCTTTCAGGTACTCAGGGTACTCACAGGATGAAAAGTCCCCCCACCTCCCAACGCCCTTATTCTAGTCACCTGCCCATTCTGCTGCCCAGCAAGCTACAGTGGCCTCAAGCTGTCTCACAACCCCCTTCCTCCTTCCACCTATTTCTACTCCCTCAGGGTCATGTGACCCTGTAGAAGGCCCACTGGACCACAAGGTCAGTTTAAATAGCAAGTTCCGCAGATCAAATCCACCAGCTATACAGGGTCACTGAATTGGAACTGACTCAATGGCTCCTAACAACAAGGTCATTTCAAGAGGCCTTTTCTGACCTTGTTAACCTCAGTGAGCTCAGCTCTGGGGACTGAGTCCTGGAACCCCCGAGGCAGGGAGCACCCCATGGTAACTTCACAGCTCTTGCTTAGTTTGGCCCATTTACTTAAGCTCCCTGTGCAACACGGCAGAGGCAGTTCACACCTCACAAGCTTTGTTGTGAGGACTGTCCTCCACCTGAACCACTTTGCACAGCAAACACTCAAGTGTTATCACTGTTAGACTCTGCCACCTTAGACTACACCCAGACAGGACCAGACGAGGCAGGCATCTAATCACTGCTGTCTGCTGCATGCACATGGTCTCCAAGCTTCTTCTCTCCTCTCCTCCACAGCCCGCATACAAGGACTCCTCTTCCAGGGAGCCCTCCTGGACTGAACTGGTTCTGCTCCCAGTCAGAAGTGCTTTCTGCCACTCAGATGGCCCCAAGGTGCCAGGGGGACCCTCTAGGGGTGAAGATGCTTCAGGAAGGGGTTCAATAGTCTGAAAGGATGGGGATGGGACTCAGCCCAGGAAGGAGTCCCTAGAGCCAATGTCTGATTCCGGGGTCTGTGGATTTGGTAAGATCAGCACCTGAGATCCCATGCAGGTCGTGGGTGTCCCCGCCCTCGCTCCTCAGGCTGCAGGCTGGCCTTCAGCTTCCAGATGGATGCTTCGTACCACCTCCTTTAAGAAGTCTTCCTTGACTGACCCCGTATTTTAAAATGGCTTCCCTATAGTCCTCCCCTCTGGTTCCTGTCCACTGCCTTCACAGGCCTTAGCTCAACCCCTCTATCTGACTATTGAGAGGCCCGGACCCCAGCAATTCAGAAACCAGGAGACGGACGTGAACAACAAATGTTTATTGCAGAAATTTGGCCAAGGTTCCAATTGGGGGGCCCCACTGAGGGTAACGGGGCCTCCTTCCCAGGGTTGGGCAGGTAAGTCAAGGAGAAGGTAGCAGAAGTGTGTCTGCGCCGGGGCCTCAGAGCTGTGAGAGGATATTGGGGGCCAAGCTGCAGGTGAGGCCTGTGCCGTCTGGCTCCACATTCAGTGCCTTTACCACGCCATCTTCTATCACCATGGAGAACCTACCAGAAGGAAGGACCAGGCCAGTCAGGTCTGAATAGACACAGGAGGGGTGGCCGGAGCCAGGGCCCCTGAGAGTCCCATGGAGAACCACCCCCCTTTTACCTCTTGAGCCGTCGATTCCCAAAGAGAGGCACCAATGAGTCGTCTAATAACAAATCTGTCTCCTGCAGGGCAAAGAAAAGGGTCAGGCATTCCCAGCCACCTTGGCCCTGTCCCTCTAGGTCCCTGCTTCCAAGGCCCAGCACAGAAGCCACCCCATAGGACGAAACAGAAATCCACTCACCTTCCCAAAGGCCCCCGTGGGGTCAGCCAGGAGCCGAACCTAAGAAAACAGAAAACAGTGGTCACCAGGAAAACCTCCTGCCAGGCCCCTGTCCCTGAAAGCACTCGCGCCTCACCTTGCCTGCCGCTTGGTGGGCTTTCCCCCACTCGGAAGTCACGAAGACGTCATTGACACTCAGACATGCCACCACCTGGACTCCCTTGGCTTTCAGAGCTCCAGCCTGCTCCACAAACCCTGGCAGGTGGCTCTGGGGAGGGAAAATGCAGGGTCAGCCGGGGAATGACCTGCCCTGCTCCTCAGCTGTCCCTTTGTCTCCAAACCCTCCTCCCGTCTCTGCTTTAACTCATTTGATCAGACAATGAGAATTGTGCAAACTCTCTTTTCTTTTTACCTTGGCCACCAGGAAGCTCCGATCTAAACCGAATGCTCTGTGGTCTGGACCACAAGCATCCCACGGGCAGCACTCTTTTCTGTCCCCTAGCCCCAACTGCCTTAAACAGTGCCTGTCACCAAGCAAGATCAACAAGGGATTTTATATTTAAATGCAAGAATAACTCTATATTTACAGTCCTGGTACGTATGTTACCTTCTTCCAGTTTCTAGGTGTGGTGCTGCGGGTTTGTTCGTGCACTGGACTGCAAAGTCAGTTTAAATCACAAGGTTGGCAGTTCAAGTTCATCAGTTGCTCCTAGGAAACCCTATACAAGGTGGCTATGGGTTGGAACTGACTCACCTGTACTTAAAAATAACAACTTCCTTACTGGGAATCCTGTTACGATGCTGTAGGATAAGCAAGCACTCAACCATAAGGTCCATTTAAATCGCAAGGTCGGAGGTTCAAAGTCACCAGCCACTCCTTGGAAACCCCATACAGGGTCACTATGAGTCAGACCCACTCAAGGGCACTTAACAACAAGTTCTTTACTGAATGTGCTAATAAACTGTCTTAACTGCCTTTCATCATCTAAGCTGCCCAAAGGCTTTAGAAGGGCAGGAGAAGGACTTCAGAGCAATAAAAACAGATTAACACAAACTCAGTTCCTGACAGACCTGTGGAGGGCAGAGCCTCACCTTGGAACAGCCTGGAGTGAAGGCTCCAGGGACTCCAAACAGGACACCCTTCTTGCCTTTGTACAGTTCTGCCAGGTTCACCTTGTTCCCAGGCTCCCCTTCAAACACCACCACCGATGGGAGGGCATCTCCTACCTAGAAAAGGCAGCAAAGCAGAGCAGCTGGGAGGGAATTGAGGGCCTGGTGACAAAGGCTGGAAAGTCCAGTCCTGTCAGTTTCCAG